CCGAGCGCGTTTTGAATTGTTTATCTGACAAGCAATCAAGCCTTTTTTAAATTTTTCCCATAACTTTATCTGGTCCAAACGGAAACATGTCTACGTATGCAATGTTTGACGAGGGGTCTTCAGTTACTCTTTTAGAAGAAAACGTCGCGGAAAAGTTGGGTCTTCGTGGTCAGAGCATACCACTTACGCTGCAGTGGTATGGCGAAAGCCAAGTTAAAGAAAATTCGAGGAAAGTTTCTGTCGCTATTAAGGGTAGTACTGCTGAGTTCTATCTGAAAAATGTACACACCGTCAAGTCGCTGAATTTGCCAAGCCAATCCTTTGATAAACACCAGTCTTCACATTTGCAGTCATTGCCAATAGAAAGCTATACAAATGCTAAGCCATCAGTGTTATTAGGTCTCGACAACAGTTACCTTGGAATCGCCAACGGGACGGTCGATGCAGGGCCGAACAAGCCAATAGCTATAGCTACACAATTGGGGTGGGTGGTGTACGGACCACTCAATCAGAGTCAAGCTATGCAACCGCGCGTGTTGCATGTTCGTGAGTCGCAGTCGCTTCAAGAGTTACATAAATTAGTGCAAGAGCATTACTCAATAGAAAGCTTTGGGGTACGTAGGACAAACGTCGTGCTGGAGTCAGATGATGACCGCCGAGCCAGGACCATTTTACAAGACACTATAAAAGAAATAGGTGAAAAATACGAAGGGGGTTTGTTATGGCGCAGTGATGCATTGACCCTTCCACCAAGTTACGATATGGCTTATCACCGTTTAAAGAATCTTGAGACACGAATGCTCAAGGATGTCAGTTTTGCCACTAATTATAGACACGAGATCGAGAAATACATCAGTAAGGGTTATGCCCGGTTGTTGTCACCGGATGAAGCATTGAAGTCAAGCCCTACTACCTGGTATTTGCCACATTTTGGGGTGGTCAATCCTCACAAACCCAACAAGCTGCGAATAGTTTTCGACGCCGCAGCCGCCACATCCAATTTATCTCTAAATTCGGTTTTATTAAAGGGTCCTGTCCATGCGCAGTCACTTATCACCATTGTACACAAATTCCGCCAGGGTGTTGTGGCAGTCGCAGCTGACATCCAAGAGATGTTTTCACAAGTAAAAATAAGAGATGACGATCAAAATTCACAACGCTTTCTGTGGCGTGACGGAGATCCGACTAAGCCGATTCAAACTTATATCATGACTTCGATGATTTTCGGAGCAATTTGTTCGCCATGCTGTGCGGAGTATATTAAAAATGTCAACGCTACCAAGTTTGAGTCTACCATGCCACGAGGAGCTTCAGCCGTAATCAACAATATGTATGTCGACGATTTGGTAATTAGCTTTAACGATTCAACTGAAGCTGAGCAAGTCGTAAAAGAAGCCATCGCCATAAATTTAGCTGCAGGTTTCAAATTAAGAAACTTTTTGTCGAACGACAAATCACTTCAAGCCATGTTAGGTGGCGAAGAAGAAACGACGATGACGGCCGTGAATATGGAGCATAATCCTACAGTGGATAAGGTCTTGGGTATGTTTTGGAACACACTCAATGATTCCATGGAATTTCATATCAAGTTTCACAAAATTGCTCGAGATGTTTTGAGCTGTAAACGTCCGTCAACGAAGCGTGAACTTTTGGGTATCATAATGGCGATTTACGACCCATTTGGATTTCTAGCCAATGTCACAATTTATATGAAGCTCTTACTGCAATCACTCTGGAGACGTCAAACGGAGTGGGACGAGCCATTGCCACAACAGCGTAACCTCAGGTGGACTTCGTGGTGGGAAAGTTTCCAGAATGTGTCATTATTTTCCGTGCCACGTTACTGATGTCAGCTAATGAGACCCAGTTACATGTTTTCGTCGACGCCAGCTCCAGTGCATATGCAGCTGTTGCCTATTTGCGCATATGCAAGGGTAGTGCCGTCGATGTTGTGTTTGTCGCAGCTAAGGCACGATGCGCCCCGTTGAAAGGTATGACGGTGCCTCGTTTGGAGCTGCAGGCAGCTATCTTAGGATGTCGCTTGTCCAAATCTATACAAGAATGCCATGATTTCATTATTGATCGAGTCGTCTTTTGGAGCGACTCAAAGACAGTCCTGTTGTGGATTAGATCCACCACGCGAGAGTACAAGCAATTTGTCGCCAGCAGGATTTCAGAGATCATCGCTTCAACCGAACCGTCTCAGTGGAGGTGGTTACCAACGTCACTGAATGTGGCTGATGATGCCACGCGAGGTAAACCCGTGTCCGAGTTCGAGCCGAGTTGTAGGTGGTTAAAGGGTCCAGATTTTTTGCAACTCGAGGAAGAAGAATGGCCGCCAGAACCAGTTGATTCTAAGTCCAGTGAATGCGCCGCTGAAGAGAAAAAGAACGTCATACTGCTCGTGTTGCCAAAAGATGAGTATATCTTGAATTTAAATAACTTTTCATCTTATCTGAAGGTACTCAGAGTTATGGGCTGGGTACTGAGATTTACGTACAATGCCAAAAATCTACACCGTCGTATAGGGGAATTGAAACCCTTCGAAGTTACTGAAGCAGAAAAGGTCATATGCCGCCGCATCCAGAATGAAGAGTTCGCCGCCGAATTTCTCCAACTGCAATCAAAACGGACCGTTGATAAGTCCAGTCACATATATGCGTTAACTCCGTTTCTAGACGACGATGAGTTAATAAAGGTCAACGGCCGAATTGATGCAGCGTTTTGTCTCCCTATGTCAGCTCGTCGTCCAGTAATACTGCCGAAACATCACTATTTCACTCGTTTAGTTATCACATATTGGCATATAAGGTTACACCATCAAAACGACGGTTTGACCATAAATGAAGTTCGCCAAAAGTACTGGGTGCCACATATCCGTTCTGTATTTATGTCCGTAAAAAGATCTTGTCCAACATGCAAAGCTAACGCCGCCAAACCTGATACGCCAATGATGGGTCAGTTGCCAGCAGATCGCTTGACGCCATATGTTCGCCCGTTTAGTTACACAGGAGTCGACTATTGCGGTCCGTTCCAGATAGCCATTGGTCGACGTCGTGAAAAGCGCTGAGTCGCTTTGTTCACCTGCCTCACCGTGCGAGCTATACATCTGGAGGTGGCAGAAGATTTGTCTACAGATTCGTTTCTGATTTGTCTACGAAACTTTGTAAACAGGAGAGGAACGCCGATCCGAATGCGCAGCGACAACGGTACAAATTTTGTTGGTGACCAGAAAATCCTGAGCCCGAAGATAGTTTATTTGATTTTAATCGGATCGAGCAAGAGTGTACCAAGCGCGGGATTGAATGGGTTTTTAATTGCCCTGCAAACCCATCAGCCGGAGGATGCTGGGAAAGACTAGTCCGGTGTGTTAAACGTCTCCTGTATCAAGTCCTTAAAGAAGAGGCACCACGTTTGGAAACATTGAGAAGTACGCTGATTGAAGCCGAATAATTAACAGCCGCCCACTAACAGACATTCCCGTTTCACCGCACGATCCGGAGCCGTTAACCCCAAACCATTTCCTATTGGGTTGCCTTAATTCGACGCAAACGCCAAGTGTAGAGGAACAGAATATTTGTCTGCGTAAGCAATACAGAATATCGCAAGCTTTGAAGGATCGCTTATGGAAGAGATGGACGTCAGAGTATTTGCCGTCATTAATACGCCGATCGAAATGGAGAGAGAAAGTAAAGCCTTTACAACCTGGTCAAGTTGTTATCGTCTGCGATTCTAGCCTACCACGTAGCCAATGGATGAAAGGTATAATAACACAAGTCATCACAGCTAAAGACAGCCAGGTTCGATCCGCATCGGTGCAAACAAGCCAAGGAGTATTCCGACGACCAGCCAGCAAGCTAGCCGCTTTTAATGTTTGTGAATCCCCTTAGAGATTCACCTGGAGGTGGAATGTTAATGCAACAGCGTGAATACCGTCAGTTGCAAATTCCTATTTTACGATATAAGTGCGTGAATACACCCACTAATAATTTCTAGTTTTAAGAATGCAATTCTGTACCATCTAACTTTTCTACATATGTTCTTTATTCTCTTTCTCTCATTTAATGTTCGAATCCTCTCAAATCGCTCAATTTGTAACATATACACATGTACGCAACATGTATACATACATACTGCGCAAAGCATTTAGGTATCAATTTCGAACGTTGAATTTGATTGTTTCGAAGATTGTTTCTATGAATTCGATTATTCGCGAAATTACAGACGCTGAGAAAACATCAAATTTTTTAACTGAGCCGTAAAAACCGAAATAAAGAGTTATTAACATCAAACCTTAAGTTCTATGGGTTTCGTTTATTTCCTGGAAGTTTTGCCGTCTACAACACCAAAACTGCGACACTTAGAAATTACTACCAGAAACAAACTAGAAGGCTTTGAAATTATTTTTTTTTTGTATTTTATAACTTGGAAGTTTAGATGTTATTAAAATGTTAAAATATTAGTTATTATTTGCTCCATATGCAAGTGATCGGTATTTTCATCGCACACGCGCCATCATGTTCTGCACGACTGCATCAGCGACTTCACGCGATGCGCACAACTACTTTGTTTTGCACTCTTCAATATTTTTCACTGCTTCACCTATTTTCTTCAAGATTCCTTTGACAATTGACCAATATTCCCCAATAGGACGTGGCTCTGGGCTATTGGGTGGATTGCAGTCGTGAGGTACAAAATTGATGTTATTTGCATTATACCACGGCAATGTGTCCTTGGCATAGTGTCAGCTTGCCATGTCCGCCTAGAACAGTGGCCTTATCAACCTTATCTGTTGATAAATGACAGAATACGCCTTTCGAGGCACTCATCCCGATAAACTTGATCATTCATTGTCCCGGATGAGAAAAAAGGGCTGCTCTTACGGCCACAGGAACAAATAGCTTGCCAAACCATGTAGTTTTTTGGAAATTTGGACTTCATTTTCAGCTTACAACTTCTAGGGGCATCTTGACGACTTGCAGCAGTACAAAAATCTTGACCTGCAATATATTTTGAATTTTTATAGCAAGAGGTTTCGTAGTCCATAACAATGCAGTTGTATTTTTTAATTTAGAATTCATACAACTTCCGAATGCAGGATTTCGCTGTAACATTCTACTTTGCGCCTCGGTCTGGCGCTTTTTGAGCTATAGAACATCTCAATGAAGCTTCCCGCTTTACCTTTTATACGAAAAACTGCTATCTCCGTACGGATTTTGTAACATAACGCGACAAAACCTTCGGATCTCGCGAAAACGCACTGATGACGTGCCGAGCACTGTTTTTATCACTTTGACCATGCTAACTTCCGCTCCCTGGTTTTCTCGTAACTGCCAGGCCTTATTTGTACCGACTAAAACCCTGAAAACTGTCGAATAGTGCAATCTTTAATTTTTTAGCAATTTTACGTGTACTTAAGGCCGGATCATTTATAAACTCTTGCAAAATGGTTTGTCTCGTTTCTAACTCGGTTGCCATTTTTAACTCAACTAGGAATCAAATTTAAATGAAATTTCTTCTACGTCCAACTAAGGTCATGGTCAGCTTATGGTATTTTAATTTCAAAAAATTTAATTCGTTTTGGGTAAGTTATAAGCTTCCCAAAGTGTCGCAGTTTTGGTGTGTTCACCCTTTAGTGATAACCGGACATTGAACAATCGGCCACTAACGTAGCATCTCCAAAAAATTGCCTTCAATTTGTGATTTGGTGTGCCACAAATACGTTTTATCAGTGTTATTACCCAATATTCGCATTCGCAAACGCTCCGCATTGATTATTGCGAATGCGAAAGCGAATGCGAATGTTAAAATTAATGCGGAAGCTCCGCGGTTGCGAATGCGAATGCGAATATTCGCAACAACCCCGGTATGTAGGTACATTCATACGAGCACCAATTAATTTCATTTAAAGAAATGGCGCGTCGTCCATTTCCGCTGTAGCGTACGTAGTGCATAGGGCGACATCTACCTCTCAACTAGGGTTGCCAAATTTTCTATGCACGAAATCAGTACGTTAGACTTTTTCACATTAAAAAATCAGTACTTTTCAGTACATTTTTGTTCAAAGCAAAATTATGAATGTAACAGATAATACTTTAAATCGCCAGAGTACTTGTTTTTAACAATATTTTGATATATAGATAAAATGTAGTTCATAAAAAAATAAAAGTGTTATTCATTTTAACATGACTGTACACATCATCATACGCAGAAGACAATAAATTATTTTATATTTATGACATTTTTGAATAGCAATAATGAGATCATTTCCATATACATTGTCTAAATAGTCAAATAATTCTATACATTTCATTTTAAAATTACTTTTAATATGAAGTTCTCTCTCTCTCAGTGGCTTCGTTGGTGTGTGGTATTGACAAAAATACA